CACAATAGACTGGTTTTCAATTAAGCGTCGAAAGTAATCATACATTACTTTGGTTTTGGTGTTATGACTCTCAATAGACCATATTCGTATTCTCGGTATTGGACTGGAACTAGCTTGCAATGGAGGCTCGTACGGGAGAATATCATTAAAAAGAGATTAATGTCATTTGCATTTGAAAAGACTCCATGCATTAACTTCAGTTGCGAGCTAGTTCCAGTCCATTACCGAGAATACGAAAATGACCTATTGAAAACCGCTCTACTGCCTGTTATATTTACATGAGACTTCAGCTTAGCTCTAATTTTTGAATAGCTAGTATCGGCGAGAGAAATCGTTCCGAATTGTTGTGATTTGAAAAAAGCCTCAGGGGAAAAAAGAAGAAATAACCTGGTCTATTCTTTAGCCCGTGACTAGCTTTTGCAGTGCCTCCCCTGACCTGAATGCCGGAAGGGGTGTTCGTACCGGTTTTGGTACTTCTTAGGCTGTTCAGCCTTATAAGAACCACAACTGGAGCGTTTGCGGTACCCTTTAGGGCATTGAGCTGAAAAAAAATATATAGCAGGAGATATTTAATGATCAACTTTATGAGCAGAAGGTATTCGAAGCAGGCGTCTTTAATGCCATTCAAAACTATTAAAGTTTCAGTTAATGCGTTGTTTTAGAATTGGTACCTCTTAGGGATGAAAAAAATTCAAGCCAGGGGTTCTTTTCAAAATTTCCGACGAGCACCTCCGTCCGTTTTATGTGGGAGTACCCCGCGGTCATCATTATTGGGGACATCATGGTTCCTGATCCTCGCCCTAAGGTCCTCTCTGACACGAGCGCGAATGAAAGACGAACAGCTGGCCGAACACTTCGGAACTCACAGCAATCCCATGGTTCTCTTGTGACATGACGTAACAAACCTTCAGGGTACTCGTGCTTTATTTTGATTGGAGAATGACAATTATGACAATCTTATACGAGGATATAATTGTAATGAATAGAAGTTAATTTCTGTTAGAAGCTGCATGTCACTGTACTACTGCTGCCTGGAAACAATTCTGAGGAGTTGGTATAAAGGTATATTGTAGTGTTCATTTACTGCTTGTTCGAGTCTTTAACAAGCTGCAAAATTTTCAAGACCGTAAATTGGAAACAAATGTAATACTTTTATTACATTGCACAATTCGAGATGAAAGGAGTAGATCGAGATGAAAGTGTAGTGACATGAAATAAAATGAATTTATATTTCCAAGCAGACCAGCCTTAAAGCGCTCTACCTGAGATGAAACATCATTTTTTCCTAATATTCTACTCTAAAAATATTCACAGATTTAGAAGACTACTCAAGTACCAGCTAACAAGGAAACCATTCAAGTGAGTCTTGAATGACAGTCTGGTTGACAACCTCTACAGCTGCGAGGAATTACTTCAAACATATATATATATTTTAATAACATGATTATAACAAGCCAAGGAGGCAACTGTGTATTTCGCTGTCTGCCAGACATATCAGTCCACAACTTATTTGCAAATTTATTTGACCTCTAGGGATTTCATTGCGCCGAGTCAGCGCAGTTTACGAAATTCAAGCAAGTATAAATTTTAATAATTATTCCGCGAGGCAAACCAATTTCCTCCGTATTGCTGAAAAAGTACTTTTATATTCTTTGCTGAAACAATGCCGGCAAAAGGGACAATTGTGCTAAGGATAAAAATTACTGCTTTGTGAATGCGCTGAATTAACTGGAGAAATCATCAGTGCACGTTTTCAAGCCTGTCAATAGTTTGCCTGGAGCACAAGTTGTCGGAAAACAAATGCAATTTACGTCAAGTCGGCGATAAGAAAGGGAACTGAAGCCGAGTGGTAGGCTGTGTGAATCTTAGGATAAGTGCGAACGGCAGGAAAATATCGGCAAATTGCACGCTTCGCCAGATACCACACGGAAACGAAGCGAACCGGCTGAAGCCTGATATCGACGGAAACAAATTCAAAATACGAAAGAACTCTGAAATATGGATTACGACGAAACCTCTCAAGAAGCAATCACAGCCATTGCCATGATAAAATCTATGACGACCGCTCCAAGAAGACGCTCTGTGTTACCCAAGTCTCCCTTGTTGCCTCGAATAAACAACCGCGCGGACTCACAGCGAGGAAGCTTCTCCAAAGCTGGCGTGTTTGTTAACAGCGGTTCATTTGTTGCGCCTTCGAGGTCTTCCTCGTGGCCGACCAGGGGAGTAACGTTAGCAAGTATTGAGTTCAAAAAGAAACTTGAAAGGAGGAAAACAAAGCACTGTAAAGGCGAGATGAATGTCGATATACGCGATAACCGACCTAGCAATCCAGGGCGCTCAGATTTCACTGCAAAAGAAAGTCCGAGAATGACGGTTTTAACATCGATTTTTGCAAATGGCAGGGACATTTCAGACAGTGGCACATCTGGCAATGCCCTCCCTCAACAGCTTTCCTCGTCTTCCAAAAAGTCGCACACATCTTCTAAAAGGTCTCCTTCGAATGCCACGCCAACTACAGATGGCGTCTCCCAGCCGCTCCTCTCTATTGCGAAAATAACACCTCTTCGTCGACCAAAATTTCCAGATCATAGGTCAAGAGGACATCATGTCAATTGATAAACTTTACGCGACTTAGTTTTGTGCTGATGTCGAGATTTATAGATTTATTGTCTTGTTATTTTAAGATAAAATCATTTTGTAAGCAACTATGAACGCACAGTCATACTACCACCTGAATTTGTAGTGTCTTCGCTGTAATATGATTTTTTTTTCGGCAAATAAAGTGTTTTGAATTTAAAAACCACTCGTGTTGATATTTATAGGGGCAAAATTTCCCCGTAGGGGATTAAACTGACATGATAAACATTGTACATTGCATTTTTATAAACTCTCCAATTTTTTTTTTTTACGGAAAGATCAAACATAATAACTGAATTTCGAACAATTATTATTTCTATACTTTTCGATTTCTGGGAGATGCAAAATGTTTCGAAATATTTAACAGCAATTGGGACAATTAAATTCATTGTTCCATAAAGCAAATCAGACATTGAGGAGAAAAACATTTGGATTTCAAAAAGATAATTTTTTTTTTTCGGAAAGAAAGAATTAAGTAAAAACTAATAATTTCAAAGGAGTGGAAAAGGTTGAACTCCGTATTATATAGAGTTGCATAAATTTCCAACAAAATCATTTAAATTTAAGCAGCCTAAAAGAAGATTTGATTTTTGTAAATGTTGCAATTCATTTCATCAACTCATGAATTCATCCGGCTTATTTTTGCAGGTTATTTTTTTAACAGATTAAGTGAAGATAAATGACGCGCAGCACTGTAGCAAAAAAACATTTTCAAAGGATTAAAACGTAAATCGATGCATTGGTGTTGATATTATTTGTCTGCGCATCTGCGCGTCAAAATTGTGAAAATTATATCTGGATCGAAATCTAATCAATTTGCAAATGTAAATTTAATTACAGAATAAATAAACATAAGAATCTCTCATTCTGAAGTTCGCTACACGTAATCCGCATCTCAAGAAATGACTATTGCTCATTTGAAACACTAAAACAAAAATTTTTAATTTCAACGATTTGCACTTGTTAAAAGCTAACCACACTGTAATAATTAAAACACAGAATGCACTATATACATTATACTGAATGCACTGTACCAATACCAGTCTTGTTGGGAACGAGGCTAGTCGCGCGAAGCGTTTTTTACTAAAAACTTATCCGCTGGTCTGTCTTTTCTTTCTTCTTCTTCTTCTTCTATTTTTCTTATTGTGTGCAGACAAAATACGTTCTGATTACGGCGCCGTGAATAGCAAACAAATAATCAAAAGGTTGCAGTGATCAGTGATCGCTGTTAATCGAAACATGACATCAGAGAAATCTTTTCAAACGAATAAAAAAAACTTTGTTCGCCGTGAGCTCAGTCACGTTTTAAAGGTTTACGAAAACATCGCGGGTGGTTCAGTGATTGTGCGTGCGACAATCTGTTACTAATTTCCGAAACCTTCTCCGCACTACACATCCTCAAATTAATTTTTCAGTCATATTTGCCGGCAACCGTGAATATTTTCGACATGAAAATGTCTGGCCTGTGAGATTTTATGCTATCATCAATTTGCATCCTCTTCAAAATCTGTGATCACGGTTTATGCCCCGTGGGAAGGAAGTCCTTTATCGTGAACACCAGCATCGTCTTTCAAATTAACATGTTTTGTTGACAGAATAACTCTGTTTGGGTTGGTAAGAAGTAGCAGAGGAAAAACAAAATTTCTGAGAAGGAAAAAGCGAATAGATTTAAAACTTCTATCAGGTTTAAGATTTAATACACCAGTCGAGTTTCCAGACACGGCCCCAGTCCTCTTCGGCCTCAGCCACGTGTTAGAGCTGAGAAACCTCACTTGAAACTGAAATCACTGAAAAGCAACCTCGTTCCAAGAATGAGGTGCTTCTGACACTCGAGGTTGTTTACGTTTATGTTTTAATTCATGTAAGATGTCACAAAATGTAACATTTCGCTAACTACTTACATGAAGTAAATTTAAAGTTTCGTGTCAACCGTCATTATGGATGCGAAGCTTTATGCTTCGTTCTGTCTGACATCACTAGGTGGAACACCTTCGTAGCTGTCAAAATCAAAGAAACTGTTGGAAAAAAATTTTAAGATGCTTCGAAGATAAGGTATTTGTGTGTTCGATTCGCATTCCAACGAGCGAGACTCACAAACATTGGGGTTCTGAGGCTGCGCAGAACGGACTGGAAATCATCCAATCTCGTACCTCCACCTCCAGTCTTCGTTCCTTACTGCACATGCTGGTTTTATACGAGGGTGGAAATCATCTTTTAAGATTGGGGATGAGGTCAAGAGGGGATGAGGTCAAGAGGACATGACAGAAGTTTTAAATAAGCCAAAACGTTACAGAAACAAAGTAAGTTCTTTCACATAGTGCGATTTAATCTGCTTCCCATACCACTGACAAGGCTGAGACAAGTTATCATTATTTTAAAGAATTACTTTATTGAACAATGAGCACTTCGTAAAAATGAACAATATAAAGCAAGCCTAATTCTTTTACATCGCAGGACGTTTTCCCCTGAAAAAAAAAAAATGGAAAGAAAAAAGAAAGTTACGTTTTTGGCCGAGGGAGAGGGAGAGGGGTTAGTAATCGAAAACGCTTTAAACAATGTAAATGTCTCGTCTATGCATATCAATGAACTAAACCCAACTTCGACACAACAAATTATATTGCGGGAAACCGATTTATTTCTCAAGACGACTTCTTCGATGAAGCCAATCTACGAATGGCGCTCTGTGAACATTTGCCAAGTTCCTCGCTCGTAATCCTTCTCAATCTTCACCAGTCTTATCCATCCTTGGTCCTTTCTAGTTTCTTGTTATATCTTAAGTGTTTCCAAATCTCACTGAGTTGTTATTTTGTAGTTTTCTTAAGCTGCAAGGTCATTTTGTGACTTAACATATTTCGAGTACACATAAGAGTTTCCTTCCCGATTCTGTTTCTTATTGACACAGGGGAGGGGAGGGATAAAGTCTTGTCACCAGTTCACCTGCGGGCTGCGATGTTACTCAAGAGACTGTTGCCGCCAAGGAACGTGAGGCCACCAATAAGAGCCAAGATTTTAAGAGTGGTGAACATGTTCTGTGAGAAAACAAAAAACAGTTCAAGTAACACCACAGTACAACCGTATGAAATACTTAAGTAATCTCATCTTGTCAGGAAGACCAAACTCACTGAACCAATCAGAAAGCCAAGCAAAAATTTGAAGCGGGTGCCAAGCGCGAGAAAAAAGAGCCGCACGCGTTATCGCGATTGGTTTGGGCTTAGCCCCCGATTGGTTGCAAAGAAAGCGCGTTTGCATCTGATTGGCTGGAAGGTGGAAATCTTAACGCTGATTGGACAGAAAATTTTGCACCGGTTTTCGGCTCCTTGCGTGAAGGAAACCGAAAGTCGCTGACAAAGGTTTCCCAACAACTCAATCAGTGAACTATGATTACAAGTGTTTGCATCAATTCCCTTCCATCTTATCAAATGTCATCTCATGTTTAGTCAAGAAATCTCACGAAGCTGAGAGAAATCTCGGTGGAGATAAGATTGATCTCTGTAGCATCTTTCCAAAGTCGTTAGCTCAACTGAGGTCAAACCTCACAAACTAACAACAAGTCTAAACGGATTGATGCAAGTTATTTTACATTTCACCTTGTCCACCATTGTTAACAAAAAATCTACAAGTTTACGCCAGCAATAATTTTTTTTATAACTTTTTATACGCAACAGTTAGAATTTTCGCAAAGAATGATGTAAGGTGGTTTCAAAATTCACCCCAGTCGACTCAAAATTCGCTTTTGAACTCATTTCTCAGCAAAAGGTTATTGTCATAAAGTGTTTAACCTTTCACACGGGACATAACAGCATAACAAATCTATGAATCACAGTTAAGAAGAATTACATACCAGGCTGACAAAGAAACAGTAGTATAGTACAAATATACCTGAAAGGAAAAAATATATCATATTGTAATCAATCAATAATCATCTTTCTGCAACAACCCAAAAAAACTAAAGTAAACTGAGCATAAATTTAAGAAAATTGATGGGGAAACGAATCACTTCTGTTATAGTTTAACCCCCACACCTGTATTATAGAAACAGCTCTTAGTAATAGACCATTTCTGAGTTACGTTGCGCCTCGATTTCAAAACGAGTCCTCGTGCAAAACCGTTCATATGAAAATTAGTTTGATCTCGAAAATGAAGCCAAGGTGGGAACCATTTTCATATGAATGGTTCCACAAGAAGACTTGTTTTGACAAAGAGGCAAAAGGAAACTCGTTAATAGCTTATTATCTCGCAATTCGCATCAAAAAGTCGCACTTTTTACACGGCGGAGCCCAGTTGTTACTTACAGAATCTTTATTTCCCAAATTGAAGTTACGTACAACAGAATTTCGCTGTTACTGCTCATCATGCAATGAACAAAGTTTAAACTTACCACCCAGTCCTAAGTGGAAGACAATTGATCCAAGAGAAAACTGGAAATTCGATAGGTTCGCTCCCAGCTTGATCCACTGCAAGTAAATCACAGGAAACTTCTTAGAATGTGTTGCGAAAGTACAGTAATGTTAAAGTACTGACTTTATGGAGCGGCATTTTGAATAACTTTAAAACGCTTGTTTAATCTGCCGTTTGTTGGGTTTCACAATTGGTTGACTGAACACGCGCAACATGCTAAAGCATTTAGGCCCCGTCCAGACCATGCCGAAAAAAATTTGAAAACGCAACAATCTCCGTTCATTCTGTGTTTGTGTTTGAGTAAAACCCTGACAGAGGAATATCACGATCGTCGTAACGTCATCATTTTCAAAAAGCTTCGTCTTCAAAATGTTCTCCGTCCACACTAAAGCGCAAAGCGGGGGTTTTTAAATTCCTCCGGTTTGAAGAGTGCTTTCGAAAAGCATCCGTTTTCGTGACGGATTAGTGTGGGCGGTAGGCATAACCGTAAAAATAAAGCTCCGTTTTCAAATCCCTGCGGCGTAGCGTGGAGGAGGACTTAGTATGCAGTCAATGGCCGCAAAGTTGTGTTCCCGCGCTTTTCACTGTTCACCTCTCTTCTTAGCTTCGAGTTCAATTTTCATTGGTTCGCAAGTTTTGATTGACATCTGTGACTGTCACTTTGAATCCAGTTTTGCAACTGTCACCAGGAAGCTCCCTCAACGTTAAATCCAATTAACAAATGTCATCTCATGTTAAGTCAAGAAATCTCATAGAGCTGAGAGAAATCTCGGTGGAGATAAGATTAATCTCTGTAGCATCTTTCCAAAGTCATTAGCTCAACTGAGGTTAAACCTCACAAACTAACAACAATTCTGAACGGAATGATGCAAGTTATTTCACATTTCACCTCGTTCATCACAGCTAACAACAAATCTACCGACTTGTACAAACAATAATTTTTGGTAACTTTTTATTCAGCAAACAGAATTTTAACACCAAGTTTGTAGAGATATAACGAAGTTTTCCAACAAGGTAAATGAACATGCAGTTCTGCATGTATTCATGGCGATGAATGCATTGGGTCAGATATGGAAAATGTGTTAATTAAGACAAACTGAAGACTAAACTCAATGTACAATACTCACCACAATAAGCATAATAACGAGTGGAAGGAAAACAAGTACAGTGAAGGCGGTGGACACAGCCTTTGGAGGACGCTTCTCTGGAATGCGGAACATGTGCTGGAGAAAACAGTAACAACCAATTGACAGAAGTTCTATGGAACGCTTCATGTAATTATTTTTAAGACCGGTATGTTTTAGGGTAACCGCATGCAAGTGTAGCCTGCCTTAGACCAGTTAGTATATGCGACTGGATTACCTTAGACATATTTTTTTTTATCTATTTAGTATGCATCGTGCCTTAACAACTTTAACAGAGGTATGGTTGACCAATTTGCAATGATAAGAGTAACAAAGTTGATACTCTTTTTTGGGACTAAAAATTCAAGGACTTTTGAAGGACATTCTAGGACAAAAATTCAAATTTTCAAGGACTTCATCAAGTAGAAAAATATATTTAGAAAGTGACCCTAGATGCTCAGGTTTAAGGGATACCTGTCAGAATCGGTCAAGTCTAAGACTAGTTCTTTCACTATGTGGACAATTGTTTCGTCAAGCTTTTCAGCATCTTTCTCCTCCTTCAAATTTCAAGGTTTTTCATGGAGCCAATGTACTCTTCACTGACTTTTAAGACTTTAAATTTTGATTTTCAAACTCAAGATCACTCAAAGTCAAGGACTTTAAAGAATCGTTAGAACCCTGCGTTTAACTGAGAGAGCGCTGGTCTTAGCAACAAAAGCAGTACCTCGATTTTAGGTCTAGCACTGTACATGGCGTCCTTGTCCTTGCTTGGCTTGGCTGCATCTTCACCAAATGTTAATGACAGAACACCCTGAATAAAAAAAGTCAAAACAATTCCCTTCATAAATCAATAACACTTGCGGTATTTGTTGTCCTCAATCTTCCTGGATTATGTTACACAAAGAGAACACAATTCAGGAACGAAAATTACACTTACAACATTCCACTCAAAAGGATTCTGAATGACAGCATCTCCAACAATGAGGTCCTTGAAGAGAAAAAAAATGAATGTTACTGTATTGTAGACTTGTTATCAGAAAGTCAATCAACAAAAGGGGAAAACATTTGAAACGTTTTGTGTCGGTGAAATGACAAAATGCCACTACGTGGATGCCTAAATAGTCCTCTCGTTAGCCTAAATAGCACCCAGGCTAGCTCTCAAGAATTGTATGGGTTAACTGTATTCCACATGGTTAAGTGCCATTTTGTAACTGCACCATTTCATGTTTTAAACACGCCCTTAAAAGGACAATACACTATAAGACATAGTTGTGTACCGTCAACACGAAGTCTACCCCCCCCCCCCNCAAAAACAATAATTTGAGCAAAAACTTTATTTATCTCACCATCTTGTATTTTCCAGAAAGTGAACCAAAGGAGTCTTTGGCAGTGGCACCAACATCCTAAACACATTTAATACCAAATGTCATCAGATTGTAATAATCTTACACTACAGAACCACAGCCTTGCATACCATGTGCATTACAGGTCTGCAATACATGCAGACCTGTAATTAGCAGCAGAAAAGAAGCCATAACTCCTCCAGATCTCAGCTGCTCATATGAGTTATAAAATTGTAAATAAAATTTTGAAAGTCATCACTGCCACACCAAAGTTCAATTCTCTACTTCACGATCTAGATAAAACTCACTGTTTTCCAAAAATATTCCTACACTGCAGCTCAAGAGAATTTCACTTTGCAATCAAGACAGTTTTTCTCAAGTGATCAGAAATTGTTGGTAAAAGGGTGAGAAAAGTTACATAGAATAGTAATCGCAACTGGCACTCACCAAATCAAACTTGAACACCTTGCTCGGCTCCGGCTCAGCAACAAAGAAAATTTCTTGCTTTGTTTTCTGATTGGTGAGCCTAACAAAAGCCTGTAAAAAATAAAACAGAGGTTAAAAACTGCTATCCCTAAACAAAAAGATCGTAAATGATATTGATTCATTCTTGCCTGATGAGGAGTGAACAGTTCTCCAGATGATTCACTCTTCAGTGAAAACTTCATCACCACTTTCTGATGGTAGTCGGCTTCAATCACGCTGGTAATAGCAGTAGGATACTTGACACTGTAACAAAAAAGAACATGTTTAGAAACACAATATATACACCTGATGTTTTATAGCAAGACATTGCACTTGGAAGAGGTGTTGATTCTGGATGACCAAACTGCAAATTCTGCATAATCAATGCCACCTTGCAGTCACGTTGTCAGCAGTTTTTATAATCACACTGCCAATTGTCAAGTAACTCTCACCAAAAATTCCACCAAATGTGAACGAAGTAGAGAGCCTTACTGTACCATGTCATTCACTGGGTAGCTTGTATGTGATTTTGACCCCACTTTGCAGCACAAAGGCAATTCTTTTCTCCAAGTACATTCATGAACACACTATTTAATCTCACAGCCCATTTTGCTTTCACTAAACTTTCACATCAAAGTTTTCAATTTTACAAAATCCCCAGTAAAGAGAATGGTGTGCAGGAAAACAATTCTTTCATTTGTAAAGATATATAAAATTTACCTGAGAGTCTTGGATTTGATGTTCTGCTCTTTGTCAACAACTGACAACTCTACGTCTTCTACATTGACCTTTGTGACAACTTTGACTTTCACCTGCCACAGAAAATAGAAAATCTGGTCTCTGCTTGATTGAACATGGATGTTCTTCCAAAAAAAAAGATACTTCCTGATATCAAGCGTTTGAAATCCTTTTTCCAGATGACAGAGAATGACCCCAACAATGAGTAGTGTAATTATTTTTTTCAAAAAAGCATTGTCAGAAAAAAACAACCGGACTGATTTTTAATTTCCTTTCTTTCAGGAAACTGTAATGCGTGACTTTGGAATGCAAGAAGAAAACTGCTTCAAGGAAAATATNTGAGTTGTTATTTTGTAGTTTTCTTAAGCTGCAAGGTCATTTTGTGACTTAACATATTTCGAGTACACATAAGAGTTTCCTTCCCGATTCTGTTTCTTATTGACACAGGGGAGGGGAGGGATAAAGTCTTGTCACCAGTTCACCTGCGGGCTGCGATGTTACTCAAGAGACTGTTGCCGCCAAGGAACGTGAGGCCACCAATAAGAGCCAAGATTTTAAGAGTGGTGAACATGTTCTGTGAGAAAACAAAAAACAGTTCAAGTAACACCACAGTACAACCGTATGAAATACTTAAGTAATCTCATCTTGTCAGGAAGACCAAACTCACTGAACCAATCAGAAAGCCAAGCAAAAATTTGAAGCGGGTGCCAAGCGCGAGAAAAAAGAGCCGCACGCGTTATCGCGATTGGTTTGGGCTTAGCCCCCGATTGGTTGCAAAGAAAGCGCGTTTGCATCTGATTGGCTGGAAGGTGGAAATCTTAACGCTGATTGGACAGAAAATTTTGCACCGGTTTTCGGCTCCTTGCGTGAAGGAAACCGAAAGTCGCTGACAAAGGTTTCCCAACAACTCAATCAGTGAACTATGATTACAAGTGTTTGCATCAATTCCCTTCCATCTTATCAAATGTCATCTCATGTTTAGTCAAGAAATCTCACGAAGCTGAGAGAAATCTCGGTGGAGATAAGATTGATCTCTGTAGCATCTTTCCAAAGTCGTTAGCTCAACTGAGGTCAAACCTCACAAACTAACAACAAGTCTAAACGGATTGATGCAAGTTATTTTACATTTCACCTTGTCCACCATTGTTAACAAAAAATCTACAAGTTTACGCCAGCAATAATTTTTTTTATAACTTTTTATACGCAACAGTTAGAATTTTCGCAAAGAATGATGTAAGGTGGTTTCAAAATTCACCCCAGTCGACTCAAAATTCGCTTTTGAACTCATTTCTCAGCAAAAGGTTATTGTCATAAAGTGTTTAACCTTTCACACGGGACATAACAGCATAACAAATCTATGAATCACAGTTAAGAAGAATTACATACCAGGCTGACAAAGAAACAGTAGTATAGTACAAATATACCTGAAAGGAAAAAATATATCATATTGTAATCAATCAATAATCATCTTTCTGCAACAACCCAAAAAAACTAAAGTAAACTGAGCATAAATTTAAGAAAATTGATGGGGAAACGAATCACTTCTGTTATAGTTTAACCCCCACACCTGTATTATAGAAACAGCTCTTAGTAATAGACCATTTCTGAGTTACGTTGCGCCTCGATTTCAAAACGAGTCCTCGTGCAAAACCGTTCATATGAAAATTAGTTTGATCTCGAAAATGAAGCCAAGGTGGGAACCATTTTCATATGAATGGTTCCACAAGAAGACTTGTTTTGACAAAGAGGCAAAAGGAAACTCGTTAATAGCTTATTATCTCGCAATTCGCATCAAAAAGTCGCACTTTTTACACGGCGGAGCCCAGTTGTTACTTACAGAATCTTTATTTCCCAAATTGAAGTTACGTACAACAGAATTTCGCTGTTACTGCTCATCATGCAATGAACAAAGTTTAAACTTACCACCCAGTCCTAAGTGGAAGACAATTGATCCAAGAGAAAACTGGAAATTCGATAGGTTCGCTCCCAGCTTGATCCACTGCAAGTAAATCACAGGAAACTTCTTAGAATGTGTTGCGAAAGTACAGTAATGTTAAAGTACTGACTTTATGGAGCGGCATTTTGAATAACTTTAAAACGCTTGTTTAATCTGCCGTTTGTTGGGTTTCACAATTGGTTGACTGAACACGCGCAACATGCTAAAGCATTTAGGCCCCGTCCAGACCATGCCGAAAAAAATTTGAAAACGCAACAATCTCCGTTCATTCTGTGTTTGTGTTTGAGTAAAACCCTGACAGAGGAATATCACGATCGTCGTAACGTCATCATTTTCAAAAAGCTTCGTCTTCAAAATGTTCTCCGTCCACACTAAAGCGCAAAGCGGGGGTTTTTAAATTCCTCCGGTTTGAAGAGTGCTTTCGAAAAGCATCCGTTTTCGTGACGGATTAGTGTGGGCGGTAGGCATAACCGTAAAAATAAAGCTCCGTTTTCAAATCCCTGCGGCGTAGCGTGGAGGAGGACTTAGTATGCAGTCAATGGCCGCAAAGTTGTGTTCCCGCGCTTTTCACTGTTCACCTCTCTTCTTAGCTTCGAGTTCAATTTTCATTGGTTCGCAAGTTTTGATTGACATCTGTGACTGTCACTTTGAATCCAGTTTTGCAACTGTCACCAGGAAGCTCCCTCAACGTTAAATCCAATTAACAAATGTCATCTCATGTTAAGTCAAGAAATCTCATAGAGCTGAGAGAAATCTCGGTGGAGATAAGATTAATCTCTGTAGCATCTTTCCAAAGTCATTAGCTCAACTGAGGTTAAACCTCACAAACTAACAACAATTCTGAACGGAATGATGCAAGTTATTTCACATTTCACCTCGTTCATCACAGCTAACAACAAATCTACCGACTTGTACAAACAATAATTTTTGGTAACTTTTTATTCAGCAAACAGAATTTTAACACCAAGTTTGTAGAGATATAACGAAGTTTTCCAACAAGGTAAATGAACATGCAGTTCTGCATGTATTCATGGCGATGAATGCATTGGGTCAGATATGGAAAATGTGTTAATTAAGACAAACTGAAGACTAAACTCAATGTACAATACTCACCACAATAAGCATAATAACGAGTGGAAGGAAAACAAGTACAGTGAAGGCGGTGGACACAGCCTTTGGAGGACGCTTCTCTGGAATGCGGAACATGTGCTGGAGAAAACAGTAACAACCAATTGACAGAAGTTCTATGGAACGCTTCATGTAATTATTTTTAAGACCGGTATGTTTTAGGGTAACCGCATGCAAGTGTAGCCTGCCTTAGACCAGTTAGTATATGCGACTGGATTACCTTAGACATATTTTTTTTTATCTATTTAGTATGCATCGTGCCTTAACAACTTTAACAGAGGTATGGTTGACCAATTTGCAATGATAAGAGTAACAAAGTTGATACTCTTTTTTGGGACTAAAAATTCAAGGACTTTTGAAGGACATTCTAGGACAAAAATTCAAATTTTCAAGGACTTCATCAAGTAGAAAAATATATTTAGAAAGTGACCCTAGATGCTCAGGTTTAAGGGATACCTGTCAGAATCGGTCAAGTCTAAGACTAGTTCTTTCACTATGTGGACAATTGTTTCGTCAAGCTTTTCAGCATCTTTCTCCTCCTTCAAATTTCAAGGTTTTTCATGGAGCCAATGTACTCTTCACTGACTTTTAAGACTTTAAATTTTGATTTTCAAACTCAAGATCACTCAAAGTCAAGGACTTTAAAGAATCGTTAGAACCCTGCGTTTAACTGAGAGAGCGCTGGTCTTAGCAACAAAAGCAGTACCTCGATTTTAGGTCTAGCACTGTACATGGCGTCCTTGTCCTTGCTTGGCTTGGCTGCATCTTCACCAAATGTTAATGACAGAACACCCTGAATAAAAAAAGTCAAAACAATTCCCTTCATAAATCAATAACACTTGCGGTATTTGTTGTCCTCAATCTTCCTGGATTATGTTACACAAAGAGAACACAATTCAGGAACGAAAATTACACTTACAACATTCCACTCAAAAGGATTCTGAATGACAGCATCTCCAACAATGAGGTCCTTGAAGAGAAAAAAAATGAATGTTACTGTATTGTAGACTTGTTATCAGAAAGTCAATCAACAAAAGGGGAAAACATTTGAAACGTTTTGTGTCGGTGAAATGACAAAATGCCACTACGTGGATGCCTAAATAGTCCTCTCGTTAGCCTAAATAGCACCCAGGCTAGCTCTCAAGAATTGTATGGGTTAACTGTATTCCACATGGTTAAGTGCCATTTTGTAACTGCACCATTTCATGTTTTAAACACGCCCTTAAAAGGACAATACACTATAAGACATAGTTGTGTACCGTCAACACGAAGTCTACCCCCCCCCCCCCCACAAAAAAAAATACACAAACAAAATAATGAAAACAAAAACATCTCACCATCTTGTATTTTCCAGAAAGCGAACCAAAGGAGTCTTTGGCAGTGGCACCAACATCCTAAACACATTTAATACCAAATGTCATCAGATTGTAATAATCTTACACTACAGAACCACAGCCTTGCATACCATGTGCATTACAGGTCTGCAATACATGCAGACCTGTAATTAGCAGCAGAAAAGAAGCCATAACTCCTCCAGATCTCAGCTGCTCATATGAGTTATAAAATTGTAAATAAAATTTTGAAAGTCATCACTGCCACACCAAAGTTCAATTCTCTACTTCAGGATCTAGATAAAACTCACTGTTTTCCAAAAATATTCCTACACTGCAGCTCAAGAGAATTTCACTTTGCAATCAAGACAGTTTTTCTCAAGTGATCAGAAATTGTTGGTAAAAGGGTGAGAAAAGTTACATAGAATAGTAATCGCAACTGGCACTCACCAAATCAAACTTGAACACCTTGCTCGGCTCCGGCTCAGCAACAAAGAAAATTTCTTGCTTTGTTTTCTGATTGGTGAGCCTAACAAAAGCCTGTAAAAAATAAAACAGAGGTTAAAAACTGCTATCCCTAAACAAAAAGATCGTAAATGATATTGATTCATTCTTGCCTGATGAGGAGTGAACAGTTCTCCAGATGATTCACTCTTCAGTGAAAACTTCATCACCACTTTCTGATGGTAGTCGGCTTCAATCACGCTGGTAATAGCAGTAGGATACTTGACACTGTAACAAAAAAGAACATGTTTAGAAACACAATATATACACCTGATGTTTTATAGCAAGACATTGCACTTGGAAGAGGTGTTGATTCTGGATGACCAAACTGCAAATTCTGCATAATCAATGCCACCTTGCAGTCACGTTGTCAGCAGTTTTTATAATCACACTGCCAATTGTCAAGTAACTCTCACCAAAAATTCCACCAAATGTGAACGAAGTAGAGAGCCTTACTGTACCATGTCATTCACTGGGTAGCTTGTATGTGATTTTGACCCCACTTTGCAGCACAAAGGCAATTCTTTTCTCCAAGTACATTCATGAACACACTATTTAATCTCACAGCCCATTTTGCTTTCACTAAACTTTCACATCAAAGTTTTCAATTTTACAAAATCCCCAGTAAAGAGAATGGTGTGCAGGAAAACAATTCTTTCATTTGTAAAGATATATAAAATTTACCTGAGAGTCTTGGATTTGATGTTCTGCTCTTTGTCAACAACTGACAACTCTACGTCTTCTACATTGACCTTTGTGACAACTTTGACTTTCACCTGCCACAGAAAATAGAAAATCTGGTCTCTGCTTGATTGAACATGGATGTTCTTCCAAAAAAAAAGATACTTCCTGATATCAAGCGTTTGAAATCCTTTTTCCAGATGACAGAGAATGACCCCAACAATGAGTAGTGTAATTATTTTTTTCAAAAAAGCATTGTCAGAAAAAAACAACCGGACTGATTTTTAATTTCCTTTCTTTCAGGAAACTGTAATGCGTGACTTTGGAATGCAAGAAGAAAACTGCTTCAAGGAAAATATCAAACCAAAAACAAAATTGCATACTAGGCACCACAGATTTCTATGATACACAGGGGTTTCACTGAGACCCAGGCACTGCACAAATTGTAACCTTGGATGATTTTGCCAACCTGGTTTGACAATCTAGAGGAGAGTTTTTGTTATAAAGAAGTTCAGTGCAAAATCTTTTGCCCAACTGTGAAAACCAGATACCCTTCTGCTGAAGATGTTAATGGAACCCCTGAATGCAGGAAGAAATATTGTGCTTTACCTGACCACTGGTTGTTCCCAGAAGACGCTTGTCCTCCTTATGTGGCTTGGCACTACAATTGTTTAATTGACAGAAACATTACCACTAATAATATAACTGAAACTGTGAATGTGTAGTTGGAAATCCATCTGCAGTAGAAGACCAGACTGCAAACATCTTGAATTTGCGAACTGTCAGGACTTTAAGCACAAAGTTCAACATGTTTGCTGTTGAATTCTGAAAGGCCTATGAAGAGTCTTTTGACTGGGACGAGATGCTGTGTCAGACTTAACACAAACTATTTTTTCACAAGTATTTGACAATTCTATTACATGTATAAATTTTGTATTTTTGTTTAAAATTATTTGACAATATTATCACTGTTCTCAGTTAAGAAGGCTGTATCCTGTGCTTAAGGTCCAAATGTTTTTATTGATGTATTAAGCCAGAGGGCAAGCTGTTATGTACACAATTGCACAGGATGGAAACTTAATTCTAAAACAAGAAAGCAAGGTAGCCGAGTTGTTACTTTTCAGCTATTGTGCTAATGTTTGTAACTGCCTATTACATTTACTGCTCTGTAGAATGTTTCCTGTCACAAATTAATTCTGACAACTTTTGAAGGTGCCTAGATCTTTTCAGTAAACTTTCCACTAACTTTCATTAGGTTAGATCTCTGTCTATGAGACATAATCTGACCTGATGTTGATGGTGTAAACTCCAGGTCCTGGCTTGGATGTCATGAAATTCAACTCATAACTAATTTGAAACAAAGAAAGTAACATTGAATACCCAATAAATATTTAGCCTATTCACTAAGTAAAAACATTTTATAAATCACAAATAAATACACTGTGCAAATATAAAACATACGCTGATTGGCTGGCTACTGCATGCATATCACAAAGTAATATCAGTGGTGATGATTAAGTTTTCTACATACATGTACTATTATAAAACATCAAGTATTTTAGCTTGTGTGTGATTGGTCTAGATGTGTCACATAACTAAATGTTCCCCAGCTAAAATTAGGGAATATCTGTGCGATAATCCCCAATTTTCAAAACTGTGTGTTCCGAAAAATATTTGAAGGATAATAAACAAAATAGCTTCCATTTTGTGTATAAATATGCTGGGATACAGTGTATTTGTCCTTGGACATTACTTGTCACAAGAAGTGAACAGTCTTCCATGAGCTAACAGGCGACTTGTTATTTCAGAACACAACTGTTCACTTCCCGGAACAGATTATGGCTGCAGACAAATATCCGAACATATTTTCCTGCCAAATGGAACCTATTGTTAATTTTTATATTATTTTAGACAAAGTGATTTATACATGACGCTACAGATCTCATTTCTCTGGGCCACATTTTTGTGATTTATCCCCTTCCCTGGCTTTAAATTCAAACTTGGACGGGTGAACCTAGTGTTTATTGACTTCTTCAGTGCATTTTAACCCAATGTTTTAACTCATTAAACCCACATATGTTTTGCTGTAGTACCTAAGCTTTTTGTACCTGTGTTTGAGGTGCTTATTTACAACTCTTTTTTAAAGAGAACCCATTAATTCAAGATTGCCATATAATCAGGAAACATGGTATCGTTTATCATTATGTCGTAAATACAGTTATAACATTAATTTTAGTTAAGTTCACCAATACTTGTCATTAGTTAAATGATCATTTAGACAATATTTTTAAATGGTTTTTAAACGTATTGAAGATTTAGTTAATTTACGTTTAATTCTCAGTTAGTTGCTAATCAAAGCTATGCTTCACAGGGTCTTGCTTCAAGGGCCTTTCAAAATGTTCCTTTGAAGATTAACGTTTTCCAAAGTTTTCATATAAGTTAGTGCTAACAATGTTATTTCAGAAAAATGATTTAATATTTAAAACTTGGTATTGGTTATTTTTGTACTGCAGCTCTGCAAGCATTTCATTTAAAACAAAGAGAAAACCTGAGTTAATTAAAAGTTGCTGTCTTCTAATTTACCATACATTTGTACACAATGCACATTACCTATGAGCTGCAAACATGCCACGTCCAAGATCTGTCTCAATTATAATGAAGTCACTGCAGTGAGATATTTTTATTTTATTTATTATGCATAGGGCCTTAAATTATGTCTCACAAGAACACATTGTAAATTTGAAAAAAATTGCACAAAAACCTTAAAATATTTATAGCAAAAAGTCATTAATTTTTTCCCCAATCAGTTTATTGTTGAAGATAAAGTACACGTAACTTAATATTAATTTTAAAAACATTTGGCAACTATTATTATTTTTTAATTTTTTTAACCTTTCATTTTAAAGTTAGGTAACTACAACAATTATCAAAATCTTGAATTCAAAGCGAACTTGTGTTTTGACACTGTTTAATAAAAATAATAATTATTCTCCTCAAGTTTGTAGAGATATGGTACATTTTTGTTTTGATGTTAGCGTTCTGATAATAGTCAGCATTCCTGAATTGATGACTTCCATTCTATCTTCTCCTTACCTGTCAACTTAGTAATAAATTGATGCTAAAATCAGAAGTTAGAAATCAATTAGTGAGAAATTTTAAAGGTTTATGACTTACTTGTCAGGGCCAGCAGTGAAGACCTTGTTGCTAAGGACAGTGGTTCCCTCTGTATCCTCGGCAGAAGTACCAGTGACAGTCATTTTACCAAAAGNTCCAATTAACAAATGTCATCTCATGTTAAGTCAAGAAATCTCATAGAGCTGAGAGAAATCTCGGTGGAGATAAGATTAATCTCTGTAGCATCTTTCCAAAGTCATTAGCTCAACTGAGGTTAAACCTCACAAACTAACAACAATTCTGAACGGAATGATGCAAGTTATTTCACATTTCACCTCGTTCATCACAGCTAACAACAAATCTACCGACTTGTACAAACAATAATTTTTGGTAACTTTTTATTCAGCAAACAGAATTTTAACACCAAGTTTGTAGAGATATAACGAAGTTTTCCAACAAGGTAAATGAACATGCAGTTCTGCATGTATTCATGGCGATGAATGCATTGGGTCAGATATGGAAAATGTGTTAATTAAGACAAACTGAAGACTAAACTCAATGTACAATACTCACCACAATAAGCATAATAACGAGTGGAAGGAAAACAAGTACAGTGAAGGCGGTGGACACAGCCTTTGGAGGACGCTTCTCTGGAATGCGGAACATGTGCTGGAGAAAACAGTAACAACCAATTGACAGAAGTTCTATGGAACGCTTCATGTAATTATTTTTAAGACCGGTATGTTTTAGGGTAACCGCATGCAAGTGTAGCCTGCCTTAGACCAGTTAGTATATGCGACTGGATTACCTTAGACATATTTTTTTTTATCTATTTAGTATGCATCGTGCCTTAACAACTTTAACAGAGGTATGGTTGACCAATTTGCAATGATAAGAGTAACAAAGTTGATACTCTTTTTTGGGACTAAAAATTCAAGGACTTTTGAAGGACATTCTAGGACAAAAATTCAAATTTTCAAGGACTTCATCAAGTAGAAAAATATATTTAGAAAGTGACCCTAGATGCTCAGGTTTAAGGGATACCTGTCAGAATCGGTCAAGTCTAAGACTAGTTCTTTCACTATGTGGACAATTGTTTCGTCAAGCTTTTCAGCATCTTTCTCCTCCTTCAAATTTCAAGGTTTTTCATGGAGCCAATGTACTCTTCACTGACTTTTAAGACTTTAAATTTTGATTTTCAAACTCAAGATCACTCAAAGTCAAGGACTTTAAAGAATCGTTAGAACCCTGCGTTTAACTGAGAGAGCGCTGGTCTTAGCAACAAAAGCAGTACCTCGATTTTAGGTCTAGCACTGTACATGGCGTCCTTGTCCTTGCTTGGCTTGGCTGCATCTTCACCAAATGTTAATGACAGAACACCCTGAATAAAAAAAGTCAAAACAATTCCCTTCATAAATCAATAACACTTGCGGTATTTGTTGTCCTCAATCTTCCTGGATTATGTTACACAAAGAGAACACAATTCAGGAACGAAAATTACACTTACAACATTCCACTCAAAAGGATTCTGAATGACAGCATCTCCAACAATGAGGTCCTTGAAGAGAAAAAAAATGAATGTTACTGTATTGTAGACTTGTTATCAGAAAGTCAATCAACAAAAGGGGAAAACATTTGAAACGTTTTGTGTCGGTGAAATGACAAAATGCCACTACGTGGATGCCTAAATAGTCCTCTCGTTAGCCTAAATAGCACCCAGGCTAGCTCTCAAGAATTGTATGGGTTAACTGTATTCCACATGGTTAAGTGCCATTTTGTAACTGCACCATTTCATGTTTTAAACACGCCCTTAAAAGGACAATACACTATAAGACATAGTTGTGTACCGTCAACACGAAGTCTACCCCCCCCCCCCCCACAAAAAAAAATACACAAACAAAATAATGAAAACAAAAACATCTCACCATCTTGTATTTTCCAGAAAGCGAACCAAAGGAGTCTTTGGCAGTGGCACCAACATCCTAAACACATTTAATACCAAATGTCATCAGATTGTAATAATCTTACACTACAGAACCACAGCCTTGCATACCATGTGCATTACAGGTCTGCAATACATGCAGACCTGTAATTAGCAGCAGAAAAGAAGCCATAACTCCTCCAGATCTCAGCTGCTCATATGAGTTATAAAATTGTAAATAAAATTTTGAAAGTCATCACTGCCACACCAAAGTTCAATTCTCTACTTCAGGATCTAGATAAAACTCACTGTTTTCCAAAAATATTCCTACACTGCAGCTCAAGAGAATTTCACTTTGCAATCAAGACAGTTTTTCTCAAGTGATCAGAAATTGTTGGTAAAAGGGTGAGAAAAGTTACATAGAATAGTAATCGCAACTGGCACTCACCAAATCAAACTTGAACACCTTGCTCGGCTCCGGCTCAGCAACAAAGAAAATTTCTTGCTTTGTTTTCTGATTGGTGAGCCTAACAAAAGCCTGTAAAAAATAAAACAGAGGTTAAAAACTGCTATCCCTAAACAAAAAGATCGTAAATGATATTGATTCATTCTTGCCTGATGAGGAGTGAACAGTTCTCCAGATGATTCACTCTTCAGTGAAAACTTCATCACCACTTTCTGATGGTAGTCGGCTTCAATCACGCTGGTAATAGCAGTAGGATACTTGACACTGTAACAAAAAAGAACATGTTTAGAAACACAATATATACACCTGATGTTTTATAGCAAGACATTGCACTTGGAAGAGGTGTTGATTCTGGATGACCAAACTGCAAATTCTGCATAATCAATGCCACCTTGCAGTCACGTTGTCAGCAGTTTTTATAATCACACTGCCAATTGTCAAGTAACTCTCACCAAAAATTCCACCAAATGTGAACGAAGTAGAGAGCCTTACTGTACCATGTCATTCACTGGGTAGCTTGTATGTGATTTTGACCCCACTTTGCAGCACAAAGGCAATTCTTTTCTCCAAGTACATTCATGAACACACTATTTAATCTCACAGCCCATTTTGCTTTCACTAAACTTTCACATCAAAGTTTTCAATTTTACAAAATCCCCAGTAAAGAGAATGGTGTGCAGGAAAACAATTCTTTCATTTGTAAAGATATATAAAATTTACCTGAGAGTCTTGGATTTGATGTTCTGCTCTTTGTCAACAACTGACAACTCTACGTCTTCTACATTGACCTTTGTGACAACTTTGACTTTCACCTGCCACAGAAAATAGAAAATCTGGTCTCTGCTTGATTGAACATGGATGTTCTTCCAAAAAAAAAGATACTTCCTGATATCAAGCGTTTGAAATCCTTTTTCCAGATGACAGAGAATGACCCCAACAATGAGTAGTGTAATTATTTTTTTCAAAAAAGCATTGTCAGAAAAAAACAACCGGACTGATTTTTAATTTCCTTTCTTTCAGGAAACTGTAATGCGTGACTTTGGAATGCAAGAAGAAAACTGCTTCAAGGAAAATATCAAACCAAAAACAAAATTGCATACTAGGCACCACAGATTTCTATGATACACAGGGGTTTCACTGAGACCCAGGCACTGCACAAATTGTAACCTTGGATGATTTTGCCAACCTGGTTTGACAATCTAGAGGAGAGTTTTTGTTATAAAGAAGTTCAGTGCAAAATCTTTTGCCCAACTGTGAAAACCAGATACCCTTCTGCTGAAGATGTTAATGGAACCCCTGAATGCAGGAAGAAATATTGTGCTTTACCTGACCACTGGTTGTTCCCAGAAGACGCTTGTCCTCCTTATGTGGCTTGGCACTACAATTGTTTAATTGACAGAAACATTACCACTAATAATATAACTGAAACTGTGAATGTGTAGTTGGAAATCCATCTGCAGTAGAAGACCAGACTGCAAACATCTTGAATTTGCGAACTGTCAGGACTTTAAGCACAAAGTTCAACATGTTTGCTGTTGAATTCTGAAAGGCCTATGAAGAGTCTTTTGACTGGGACGAGATGCTGTGTCAGACTTAACACAAACTATTTTTTCACAAGTATTTGACAATTCTATTACATGTATAAATTTTGTATTTTTGTTTAAAATTATTTGACAATATTATCACTGTTCTCAGTTAAGAAGGCTGTATCCTGTGCTTAAGGTCCAAATGTTTTTATTGATGTATTAAGCCAGAGGGCAAGCTGTTATGTACACAATTGCACAGGATGGAAACTTAATTCTAAAACAAGAAAGCAAGGTAGCCGAGTTGTTACTTTTCAGCTATTGTGCTAATGTTTGTAACTGCCTATTACATTTACTGCTCTGTAGAATGTTTCCTGTCACAAATTAATTCTGACAACTTTTGAAGGTGCCTAGATCTTTTCAGTAAACTTTCCACTAACTTTCATTAGGTTAGATCTCTGTCTATGAGACATAATCTGACCTGATGTTGATGGTGTAAACTCCAGGTCCTGGCTTGGATGTCATGAAATTCAACTCATAACTAATTTGAAACAAAGAAAGTAACATTGAATACCCAATAAATATTTAGCCTATTCACTAAGTAAAAACATTTTATAAATCACAAATAAATACACTGTGCAAATATAAAACATACGCTGATTGGCTGGCTACTGCATGCATATCACAAAGTAATATCAGTGGTGATGATTAAGTTTTCTACATACATGTACTATTATAAAACATCAAGTATTTTAGCTTGTGTGTGATTGGTCTAGATGTGTCACATAACTAAATGTTCCCCAGCTAAAATTAGGGAATATCTGTGCGATAATCCCCAATTTTCAAAACTGTGTGTTCCGAAAAATATTTGAAGGATAATAAACAAAATAGCTTCCATTTTGTGTATAAATATGCTGGGATACAGTGTATTTGTCCTTGGACATTACTTGTCACAAGAAGTGAACAGTCTTCCATGAGCTAACAGGCGACTTGTTATTTCAGAACACAACTGTTCACTTCCCGGAACAGATTATGGCTGCAGACAAATATCCGAACATATTTTCCTGCCAAATGGAACCTATTGTTAATTTTTATATTATTTTAGACAAAGTGATTTATACATGACGCTACAGATCTCATTTCTCTGGGCCACATTTTTGTGATTTATCCCCTTCCCTGGCTTTAAATTCAAACTTGGACGGGTGAACCTAGTGTTTATTGACTTCTTCAGTGCATTTTAACCCAATGTTTTAACTCATTAAACCCACATATGTTTTGCTGTAGTACCTAAGCTTTTTGTACCTGTGTTTGAGGTGCTTATTTACAACTCTTTTTTAAAGAGAACCCATTAATTCAAGATTGCCATATAATCAGGAAACATGGTATCGTTTATCATTATGTCGTAAATACAGTTATAACATTAATTTTAGTTAAGTTCACCAATACTTGTCATTAGTTAAATGATCATTTAGACAATATTTTTAAATGGTTTTTAAACGTATTGAAGATTTAGTTAATTTACGTTTAATTCTCAGTTAGTTGCTAATCAAAGCTATGCTTCACAGGGTCTTGCTTCAAGGGCCTTTCAAAATGTTCCTTTGAAGATTAACGTTTTCCAAAGTTTTCATATAAGTTAGTGCTAACAATGTTATTTCAGAAAAATGATTTAATATTTAAAACTTGGTATTGGTTATTTTTGTACTGCAGCTCTGCAAGCATTTCATTTAAAACAAAGAGAAAACCTGAGTTAATTAAAAGTTGCTGTCTTCTAATTTACCATACATTTGTACACAATGCACATTACCTATGAGCTGCAAACATGCCACGTCCAAGATCTGTCTCAATTATAATGAAGTCACTGCAGTGAGATATTTTTATTTTATTTATTATGCATAGGGCCTTAAATTATGTCTCACAAGAACACATTGTAAATTTGAAAAAAATTGCACAAAAACCTTAAAATATTTATAGCAAAAAGTCATTAATTTTTTCCCCAATCAGTTTATTGTTGAAGATAAAGTACACGTAACTTAATATTAATTTTAAAAACATTTGGCAACTATTATTATTTTTTAATTTTTTTAACCTTTCATTTTAAAGTTAGGTAACTACAACAATTATCAAAATCTTGAATTCAAAGCGAACTTGTGTTTTGACACTGTTTAATAAAAATAATAATTATTCTCCTCAAGTTTGTAGAGATATGGTACATTTTTGTTTTGATGTTAGCGTTCTGATAATAGTCAGCATTCCTGAATTGATGACTTCCATTCTATCTTCTCCTTACCTGTCAACTTAGTAATAAATTGATGCTAAAATCAGAAGTTAGAAATCAATTAGTGAGAAATTTTAAAGGTTTATGACTTACTTGTCAGGGCCAGCAGTGAAGACCTTGTTGCTAAGGACAGTGGTTCCCTCTGTATCCTCGGCAGAAGTACCAGTGACAGTCATTTTACCAAAAGCCTTGTCCATGACATTAGTGACACGGACCTGCAATAATATTAAATGCATGGTCAGTTCACACATCATCAACATTGGCACCTTGTCCTCGGAACAATATTTACACAAAATTTTCAACTTTTTTGTTTCCCAAGGAACTTGAAAGCTGAATCAAAGGGAAGCGACCTAGATGTACATGTATCATAGAATTACCTCAGTCACAAAAACAGAACATGCTTACAAATGAATGTATCTTGTTTACAAACTATTTTAGTTGCTGGACAAGTAAGGAATATTTCCAGGCATTGTTTTGGGAAACAAAAATGTCTCTCATGAAATACAAATGTAGTAAAATGCTAGCCAGGGCTTTGCCAGCGCACAAGCGTCAAAATTAAACACTTGCATGTAATTAAACCTGTAGTTTACATTGCCTTACTATCAATATTATTGTCATGCTCAATATTAATTATAGTGTTCTGAACACAGTGTTCCAAGCTCAAGGTTTTCAGTAATCAGCTTTTTGCAACCTCCTTCTGTAAAATGGTTGCCACTAAGGGCTGATTTACATGGTACAACTTTGTCGCATAAGACAAGCTTACAACAGGCCCATGACACAACTTAGACCATTTACACGCACACAACATTTTCACTTATAAAATTAAATATGTAAAAGTTTGCACTGGGATCTTCGGAGCAAAAGTTCTTTCAAACAGTAAACAGATATTTTAGCTGTCCTGTGCTTTAAAAAAACCTTTATAACAAGATATTTTTCGCTTTAATCTGTTCAGTACTTTTTGAGAAACAACTTCAAGTGAATCAGCCAAGAACAACGGCGTCCACCATTTTGACACAAGAAAACTTCACCTTCGTCCCCTACTCAGTAGAAATTTGTCACAAAATACGTCATTTTCCAACGATTTCGGCTACGATTGTCGCAGCGTTCTAAAAAACATGTTTTAAAATCCTACGTTGTTTTTGACGTACACGACAGTCGTAAGCAAGATGTAGGTTTGATTTACATGAAACAATTCCTGTCATAGGCCTGTCGTGAGCTTGTCACATACGACACAGTCATACCATGTAAATCGGCCCTAAGACAAATTTGGTCGCCAAAAGCTTTTTCAAATAAAGATACTTTGTGTGACTTAACATGAAGCTAATACTGCTGACCACAATGAATCCACATTGAAATCATTCAAAGAATGTTCCAGTGCTATTAGTTCTGCTTGCAACTGTTTTATTTTTTGTTGTTGTTGTTGTTAAACAGTCTTAACTACTATTCAGGAAAACAAATAAAAGAAAGAAAAGAAACAGGTACAGAAGACAAACTTGCATAAATTGTGGTTGAATTCATTTGGCTTAGTGATTATACCACAAAACCTTGTTGTTGAGCAGTCAGCCTTTTGTTCTGCACTGGTCACCAAATTGACGGCCTGTTTGAACAAAATGGTCACAGCTTGGAGCACTGGAACAGTTTGCAGACCAACACACAGAAGAACAATAAAGTTAATGCAACATTGTGTTCCTAGAGCATCACCTCAAACGTTAAACAACTTCTACAAGAGAAATTAGTAAGGATAAATGCTCACAGACCTTGACCATCTTTTTGTCATCAGAGACAACTGGTGAGCCATAGAGCTGAAACACAACTGGCACATGGAACTGAAAGATCACAAGAAAAAGTCACTTCCTGGACACAACACATCTGTTGTGAGCACCTTAACAGCAGTGCACAAATGCAAAATGTAAACACAGGACCGAATATTACTTTACTCTTAATATCTGATAAATCTGTTTGTGATGGTTAATCCAAAACACTCACCGGATTGTTGCCAAGTTTATCAAGTGCAAACAAAAGAGCTCCTATTTCTTTCATGGATTGTGCATGCTTTCGTGAGAGGAGATAGTTGGCAAACTTGATTACTTGCTCCTGAAAGGCAGAAAACAATGAAAAATGAATTCCTAGTTATAAATGACAACACCACACTGATGACCCAACTATCCTGGGTGGTGGGGGGAATCCTATATGAAAAGGTCAGACATGCTCATCACCTCACTTAGGGGGATAAATCTTAATGATTCTGGTCTCACTTGGGGTGCTCATGATGAAACAACACTATTGTTAGCTGTCAAAGTATCTTTCAGAGTGCACCCTAAGAAATAATAATAAGAAACACTCTTATTTCCATTTTTAGGCCTGATTTCCACCAGTCTCTCTAGTCCAGTCTACCAGTGCGGGCTCCTTTCCTGAACAGCGGGTGGTAATCGAGCCTATTCTGTTTTGAGTGGTATCTTTTACAGCTTAAATGAAGCTTGAGCAATGCCTACATTAATCTCCTTTAGGGGTTTGATTCAACTTTTCAGACCTTTTCACATGGGAGTTCCCCCCTGGTTCCACTATATACCCTAAGAAATTATTTTACCACCAGGAAATACATGTATGTCCACTGATCACAATCCATTACAGCATGACAAGATAGTATCCCTACCTCCGTGATAGCTGGAGCCTTTCCCAGAAATTCTGACAGAGCATATGTGGCATACACAACTTTTGCAGTAGGGTACAGTCCAGCTTCAAACTGTAAAACAATCAAAAAGCAACAACGGTCGAGCTTAAATCTTCCTTCAAAATGAAACAAAACCAACCAGAGTTACATGTACACGGGGTGTGTCATGAATGCGCAAGCAAAACAAAAGTAAAGAAAGTTAAAAACCAGACCATGTCACAAAAAAGCTTTTCACAGTCTGTTTATTTACTTTTGCAGTTCAACAAAACTGCAACTGCATTTATTCATGATCTTCAACTGAGTTGATTTTGCTATAACAAAAGGAAAAAAAACCCTGGTCTGAACTTTTTCCTAATTCTTTCTTACTGAATGATGCAAGTCTTAGCACTACTTCAACATGAATGCAGAGGTCGAATTCACCTTCCCTCTCAGCTTTGAACTGACCAATGCTTATGAAACAATACATACACGTAATCATTTGCAATGGGTGAATCCCATTATTAATGCCAAACTGTGACTTAGGTTGTTCAAGTAGAACAGTCATACAATGTAGAAAGATTACCTGTAAATAACTGTTATCAACTTCGTCAGCCTGGGCCACAGTATCCTAAAGAGACAAATTTCAAGCTAGAGTTAAGCACCTCATGTAGCACACATACTCGAGCACACACATACATGGGAGCTTGAAATACCAGTACACACTTTAAGGTCATTCCTCTCATTTGCATCACGCATCCTTACTGCGCATAATTTATGGCGTCATTAGCGCGCGCTTGTGCACATGCATATTGAAAACATGACAGCTTTGCCTTGATATTGAGCTCTGTCAGTTGAAAAATGGCTCTAGCTCACCAACGAGCATGGGCACCCCAATTTTTTTTCCAGTTGTTGTAATCAACTAATCATAAGCTTTGC